GGAGGATCACAAATTCAAGGCTAGCTGGACAGGTTAGCAAGATCCTGTCTTAAAACAGAAAATTTTAAAAAACAAACAAAAAATATGTGTGTGGGGGAAACTAGAGATGTAGCTGAGTGGCAGAGTGCCCCTGGGTACGATCCCCAGTATGGGGGAGGCAGAAATAACTACCTAATGGCAATGTAAACCAAACCAACTGGGTTTTGGGTACAGCTCCAGCCCATCTCTAAGAGATTCTGATTGAATAAGCACAGGTATTTTTGTGTGTGTGTGGGGGGAGGGTACCAGGGATTGAACCCAGGAGGGTACCAGGCACTCAGCCACTGAGCCACATCCTCAGCCCCTCTTCTTTTACTAAATTATTTATTTATTCTAATTTGTTATACATAATGGCAGAATGCAATTCATTTCATATTACACATATAGAGCACAATTTTTCAAGACACTGATTGTACACAAAGTATTTTCACATCATTTGTGTCTTCATACATGTACTTAGGGTAATGATGTCTAACTCATTCCACCATCATTCTTACCCTTTTGCTTCCTCCTTTACCCTATCAAAAGTTCCTCCATTCCTCCCTTACTCCCCCCTCCCTCCCACCCCGCCCATTGCCATTATGAGTCAGCATCCTCATATCAAAGAAAACATTAGTCTTTATTTTTTTTTTTTTGAGATTGGCTTGCTTCACTTAGCATTATATTCTCCAACTTCATCCATTTACCTTCAAATGCCATGGTTTTATTCTCTTTTAATGCTGAGTAATATTCCATTGTGTGTGTGTGTGTGTGTATACACACACACACACACACAAAAGTTTCCCTATCCATTCATCTACTGAAGGCTCAGCCCTTTTTTTGTATTTTATTTAGAGACAGGGTCTCACTGAGTTGCTTAGCGCCTCCCCATTGCTGAGGCTGGCTTTGAACTGGCAATCCTCCTGTCTCAGCCTCCTAGCCATTGGGATTACAGACGTGAGCCACTGCACCCAGCATCACAGGTATTTTTAAAGCTCCTGAGCATTCTCACATTCTTTCCGGGAGAGCAGCATAGATTAAGACCTGTGGTCATCATTCTCCCACAACTTACATAGTTCACCACATTATACCTTTTTAGAACATCACTGTAGTACATAGGGATAAACTACATAATTAAAGTTTTTTTTTTCCAGTGCTAGGGATCAAACCCAGGGCCTTGCATATGCTAAGCAAGTGCTGTACCACTGAGCTATGCCCCTAGCTCAAAACTTTGATGGAACACATTTTTGCTTTCTGTACATTGAGCTGTCCATTAACACAGGTTACAACCTTGAAGCTGCTTTTCCCTTTGCCTCAGTACTAGGGATTAAACTCAGGGCCTCAAAATGCTAAGCAAATGCTCTACCACTGAGCTACATTTCCAGCTCTTTTAAGTTTTTTATTTTAAAACAGGGTCTCACTAAATTTCCCAAGCTGGTATTGAACTTTTTCCTGCCTCAGCCTCCAGAGATTATAGGTATATGCCACTATGTCCAGCTGCAGGTGCTTTTTGATATAGCTGGGAAAAAACTATTTAGGGCTCATCATAGAACTTCTATACCACCAAATCATTCAGTTATTCTTCTTCTGAATCAAGGTGTACAAGTTTTAAGCCCTTCAGCTCTTTTACATGCTCAAACATCACAAACAGAAACTAGCTTCCACATCAGATATTTGAATATAACAACATTCCAAATCAGATATTTGAATATAAAACAAAAGTTTAAGTAGCACCTCCCTGGCCTCACAATTTAGTAGGGGAAATAAACAACTACAACCATGGGATTAGAGCTATTATAAAAGAAGCCCTAAAGGTGCTGGGCACAGAAGAAGGACTCCCAACCCTGACAAGTCAGATTCTGAAGAGTGACTTAAGCAGACACTTCCGGAAGGTTTAGTAGAAATAAGCTGGGTAATGAGAGGGTGAGGGGAAGAATGTGTTCTGGAAGGGACACAAAGGGAACAGCAATAGAGGTAAGCAGGTGATGGATCTGGACTCGGCAGAGCTTGAAAGGCTCAAATTAAAATGAGTCTGGCATTTTCATCCCAGAGGCAATGAACAACCCTCCCTGAAGAACTTTATGTAGATTCTCTGAGATTACTATGGCTATGTTCTAGGGAAAGGACCAAGGAAGGCAAGACCAGTGGGTGGACAAAGCTAGTACCCACCTCTAAGGTAGTAAAGAATGGTACAGTCTAGAGTGGTTGCAGTCATGATGACAGTGGTAGAAATGATGCCCACCCCACCCCACCCCACCCCCCCAAAAAAACAGGAGGAAGAGCCAATGGAATGGCATCTTAGCTTCCTGGCTGGAAACTGAGAAGCTACTTGGCAAGAAAGGGGAGACCCATTTCTGAACATGATTTGAAGAACCTGTTGACCCTTTTCCACTTTTCCAATAAGCACCAGCCATAAGGAAGAGCACAAGGACACAGTGCTTAAGTAAGAGTCAGATTCTATACAAAACTTTATATTTATTAAAACCTTCTCTATAAGAATTATACCTTTGACATGGGTTGGATATGGATTGAGTGTGTTCCCTGAAGGTTCACATGTTGAGGCTTAGTCTCAGCATGGTGGGGTTTTAAGGGTTGGAAACTAGTGGGAGGTCTCTGGAGGCTGCCTTGGGAAGAGATTAAGATAGTTCTAATGGAACCCTGAGTTAGTTCCTGTGAGGTTATTAAAAAAGCAAACCTCATTCCTGCTTCCTGTCTTGCCATGTGATCTCCCCCTCTAATACAATCCCACTACTCTGATGCCATCTATCATCAGGTCCTTTCCAGAGCCAAGCTGATGCCAGCACCATGTTCTGGAACCTCTAGAAACATGAGCTAAACAAATCTCTTTTCTCTATAAAATAGTTACCCAGTCTCAGGTATTTCATTACAGTAAGAGAAAAAGGACTAATACAACTGTTTACCCCTATTTTATAGACAAAAGGATGGAGGTACAAAATATGCACCCAAATTCACAGAGCCAGTAAGTACCTGTGTTTACTTATGGTATCTTTAGTATGGCCTTAGTTGGAGCTTTTAATGATAGCCTGCTATTAACTCTCATAAAACAGTCTGAGACTTATTAAAAACACATGGAGCTGAGTGCAATGGTGCATGCTTGTAATCCCAGTGACTCAGGAAGCTAAGGCAGGAGGATCACAAGTTCAAAACCAGCCACAGCAACTTAGCTTGGTACTAAGCAACTTAGTAAGACTGTCTTAAAATAAAAAATAAAAAGGGCTGAGAATGGTAAAGCGCCCCTAAGTTCAATTCCCAGTGAGAAACTCTGAAGGGCCAGTCAAGTGCAGCTGGGAAGTTTTGGAAAATGTGTGTGATGCTGGGAGTTTGAGTTTGTTTTTTATGAAAGGCTGGTCAATGACAGCGTGTTTTTTAAGGCTCAAATTAAAAATGGTTCTCACATTTTTATAAGGTAAAGAAAGGGGAAGAACACTCAACAGAGACTGGATGTGGCTCTGAAAATCTAACACACATATTATCTGGTCCTTTACAAAAACAATTTTGGAATCTCTTGTGGCCTTGGCAAGAACAGATTCAGGGAACCAGAATGGGGGTGGGGTACAAAAACCAGGCTGTCTGTTATTTAGGAACATAAAGAAATAATGGAGAGAAAGGTGGTTCTTTCACAATGTCTGGCTGTGAGGAAAGAGCTTCAAGAGGTCAAGGGGAGAGAAGAGGTTTGCTTTTTATGAGCACTGTTAAACACAAAAAGGAAGAAGTCCCTGAAAGAGAATGGATGAAAACCCCAGAAAGGGAAGCTGCTACTGAGAAAAGGTCCCTATTAAAGGGGAGGATATAGGATCCAGAACACAAATAAAACCCAGAACACCCTTCTGAGGTAACAAGAAGGCAGAAAAGGGTGTTAGTTTGCAGGCATGAAAGTGAACACATCCCAGTTTATGGCTTCTGCTTTCTCCAAGTTATCTGCTAGGAACAAGGCAGAACAGCAGGATCAGGGATTTACAGCACTATGTATTATGAAAACATGACCTGTGTGATGAAATCAACTACATTTGTCACTGTACAGCTTTGTAGTTAACAAAACTTGAGTCTGAATCTTGCTCTTAATAAATAAAGTGAGTTATTTAACATCTTTGAGTCTCTCTTATCTACAAAAGAATAAACAACACCAGCTTAAGAGATTCTAATGATTTGACTTAAACAACTCAGAATTAGAGCCTTTAGCTGAAACTCCCGCCCTACAAACTGTGAGAACTCTTTCCCTGTTACAGAAGCGATACAAGAGACATGGGAGTGAAGTGCTCTGAACTGTCCTCCGCTTTGTACTGAACCCTGTCCACACACTGGTGCCCGGTCCTTATTTTCCCCAAGCACAAATACATAAGGAGAACAAATTGGGACCTCATTAAAACGCCAAACTTTGGGAGTATTACTATATTCAAAAAAGCATTCCATGCCTAATTTTTCTCTTGGTTCACACATTTTTGACTATTTTCCCCCAGGGAGCCACCCTAGGGACAAAGACAGCCAACAGATGTAACTCAAGTAAAAGGGTAGCAAGACAAAGGAAGAAATTGACGGCTGAACACAGGATTTAAGAGATAAAGCTTGGAAAGTTACACGTGAAAGCTTTCTGCAAGGACAAAAGTGGGGCTTCTCGGCAGATTTCCAGTTCCCACCCTAGGAGTTCTCAGCGGTCCAGGTATCTAGGACCCTGTCTAATCGCCCTTCCGGGTACCGGCTTCAGCGACAACGCCTGGAGCCGGTCCAGACGTGTGGCCTCCGCGATCGGGGTCCGGAGATGTCCACCCGAGAGCCGAGGTCTGAGATAGCAGGTGAAGTCCCCTGTCGGTCAGCGGTTCAGCGGGGTTGAGGGCGCGGGGCAGTGCCTGGGGTCCAGTCGTCGCGCGGGGAGGGGGGCGGAGCGCAGCTGACAGAATTGGGGGTGCGACACTCTTCCCCCTCCCTGTGTCCGCCTGGCATTCGGCGCCCGAGCCCAACCTCACCTGGAAGTGCTCCTGGAAGCGGATAGGGAGAATCTGAGCCATGGTAGGCGCGGGGAAGAGGCAGCCCAGGTTCCCCTCTCGCGGACTGACCAGAGGCAAGGACCACAGCTGCGCAGGCGCACTGTCCCGGGTCGCTTAGTACCGTGCCCCTCCACGCGAGAGCCCTGCGCGGGATCCCTCCGCTCGCTGTGAGGGTCCGCGAAAATTATTCCGCGAGCAACCGGGATGCCAGCACTCTTGTAACCCCAGCGCGTCTTAGCTCGTCTGAGGTACCCCAGATCATATGCGCGGGAACGCGGATTGGTTTTTGGGCTACCCCCGACCGGTGTCCATACAGGTGTGTGAGGGCAGGTGGACTGCGTCCCCAGGGAATGCTGCCGAAGGTGTACCTCGTTCTAAGCTGCCATTAACCAGTGTCCAGAGTATGTGTGTGGGGGCTGGGGAGTGAGTGTGAACTACTCTCAGCAACTTCTAAGGGAAAGTTTTCCGGAGAGAGAAACGAAGTTTTTACACTGCCCTTGCCTAGAGCGAGCTTTCCTCCTGTAGAGAAGGGGCAGAGATGTTTTATTCTACTTCAAACTCTGAGCTGTTGTTTTCAGGGCCGCTTTTTATTCAGGCAGAGGAGTGACATAAACATGAAAAGAGTATCAATGCTGAGATCATCCAGTAGCAGCTAACCAAACAACCTGGACTGCATGAGGTTGCTCAACAGTAGTAGTAGGGAGCAGGTTGGAAACTCGACCCCACACCTGGTTTGCCCAGGGGTCAGTATTTTTCTTGAGGCAGCCCAGCATTTGAAGATGTGCATTGCATGCAGATGACTAAGTTGCTTAAAAGATGTTTGTCAGGAAAGGGAAGACTTTGGCGTTCAGCATAGGCACTGCTGCGGTGTAATCAATATCCCTCTACCACTTTACAAAGAGACAGGGGTAAGTTTATATGACTTTGGATATGGCAGTGGTTTCTCAGATATAAGACCAAAGAACAAGGAACAAAAGATAAAAAAAAAATTCTGGAAACTTTAAGAGATGAATGAAGTCCACTGTCAACAATACAATTATTTCCACAATAGTTTGACTATCTAGTAGCCTAAAATGTTAAAGAATAGAATGGAAGGTTCACTTTCAAATTAAAAATCTCTAATCTGATGTTAGTCAAGATCTCTGCAGGTTGCTCTTCAACATCTGTGGTCTTATCTCCTAACAAGAGAGCTGACTTGCTGTGGGTAGTAGTACATTTCCCAAATTTATTTTGACAATAGTGCCTGTGACCCTAAGTACCCATTTCCCCAGGGCTTTTTCTTTTTTCTTTTAGGTGGGGGGAGGGGTCAAACTAAAAAGTTATATCTTAAAAGAATTTTAAGAATACTGTTGTAAAGCAGAATGACGAGATTGTCAATAAATCAGGACCTCACCCAGTGTCTGTACTTGGCAAGGAATAAAATGTCCCAACCTGAAAAGGATGTTAATATTTTCACAACTGGTGAGTAACTGGCCAGGTAATCCTGAAAAACAAAATGAAATGAAACAACCCTCAAAACAAAACAAAAATTCTTTAAATCCTTTGTGCTGTTTTATCTTTATAGGAGAAACGGTGAGCTCCTACAACTCAGTAAAACCAACAACCAAATAAAAAACTGGGCAAAATACATGAACAATTCATTAAGAAGAAATGAATGATGTTAAACATGAAAAATATGCCCACCCTTACTCATAAACCAAAGGCAGATTAAAATATTGTTTATATATAATATAGATAATATAATATATAGCTGGGTGCAGTGGCACATGTCTATAATCCCAGTGAATCAGGAGGCTAAGGCAGCAGGATCACATGCTTGAAGCCAGCCTGGGCAACTGAGATCCTATCTCAAAATTAAAGAAGGCTAGGGATGTAACTCAAGTGTTAGGAGTGCTTGCTTACTACATAGGAGGCTCTAGGTTCAATTCCAGTATCAGAAAAAAAAAAAAAAGAAAGAGAAGGGAATGATAAGAAAAGAAAGGACAGGGGTAAGTATATATGACTTTGGATATGGCAGTGGTTTCTCAGATATAAGACCAAAAGAACAAGGAACAAAAAATAAAAAAAATTCTATGCATTATAGGACACTATCAAGAATGTGAAAAGACAAATCGGATAAGGAACTTTTATCGAGGATGTATTTAAAAATTCTTAATGATAAAAAGACAACTAAATTTGAAAGTTGGAAAAGGATCTGAATTGATTTTTCTGCAAATAAGACATACAGTTGGCCAATGAAAATATATTCAATATATTCAATGAAAATATATTCAATATATTCATAGAGAAATGCAAATCAAAACCACCAAAAGATACCACTTTACTCTCACCAGGATGACTTCAGTAAAAAATTATAAATACTGGCAAAGATGTGGGACAATTAGGACCCTTATACACACTGGTATGAATGTAAAATACTGCAGCCACATTATAAAGCAGAATGGTAGTTCATCAGTTACTTAGTCACCATATGATTCAATGTTTGGATCTGGTATGTCCCCCAAAGGCTCATGTGTTGAAGATTTGGTCCTCAATGCAGCAGTGCTTAGAAAACTTTGGGAACTGACAGAATCATAAAGGCTCTAACCTCATCAGTGGATTAAAACAATTATATTTTCATAAATTGATGGCATTATTGGGAGATGATGGAAACTATCAGACGTGGGTCCTAGTTGGAAGAAGTAGGTCACTGTGGACGTGCCCTGAAAGGCTATGTCTTATCCCTGACCACTTCCTTGTTTTCTTTCTGCTTCCTAGTTGTCATGAGGTAGACAGCTTTGCTCTGCTGTGCTCTTCCACCATGATGTTCTGCCTCCACCCCAGGTCCAAAGCAATAGCCAACCATAGTCGGAAACCATGAGTCAAAATAAATCTTTCCTCCTTTAAGTTGTTTTTCACAGGTATTTGTAAACTGCAACAAAAAGCTGACTGATACACTGAGCAATTCCACTCTTGGATATGAAATCAAGAAAATGAAATCATGTCCACAGAAAAACTTATACAGCACCATTATGGATAATTGCCCAAAGAGAGAAACAATCCTGATGTCTATCAACAGGTGACTAGATATGCAAATGTGGTATTCCATACAATAAAATATTATTTGGCCATAAAAAGAAGTAGTGATACATGCTACATGAATAAACCTTGAAAATTATGCCAAACTGGATGTAGTGGTACATTCCTGTAATCTTAGTGACTTGGGAGACGAAGGCAGGAGGATGGCAAGTTTGAGACCAGCTTCAGCAACTTAGCAAGACCCTCAGCAACTTAGTAAGCCCATCTCAAAGTAAAAAATAAAAAGAACTGGTGATGTAGCTCAAATCCCCCAGTACACACACACACACACACACACAAAGAAAGAAACGTAAGAAACCTGTCAGAGAAGACCACATATTCTAAGATTCTGTTTATGTGAAATATCCTGAATAGCCAAGTCTATGGAGGTGGAAATTGATTGGTGGTTGCATTGGGATAATGGGAATGGGATATGACAGATAAAAGTGTTATGAGCTCTTTCTGGAGGTGATGAAAATGTTGAAGGAAAAAAATTTGTCATCCCTCTTTCTCCTCTCCTTTGGTGACTCCAATTCCCTGTATATTGGACTATTTGAAGTTATCTCATAGTTCTGATATTTTTCTTTCTTTTGGAATTTTTCTGTTTCAGAACATTTCTATACCTTTAAGTTCACTAATCTTTTTTCCCTGCAGTGTCTAAAGTGTTGTTAATCCTATCCCATACATTTTTCATGTTAATGATTAGTTCTCATGTCTAGAAGTTCAATTTGTGTCTTTGCTAAGTTTTCCCACATCTCTATATAACTTTTGGAACATAGGAGTAGTGTTGTAATCTCTTTAAATGTCTTTCTTTGCCAGTTCTAACATTGGTTCAAATTTTGGTTCAATATGGACTGAAATTATTCTTTTTGGATCATCTTCCTGCTTCTTTGTATGCCTTGTTATCTTTGTTTGGATGATGGACATGGTTAGCTTCATCTTGTTGGATGTTGCATATTTTCATGTTCTTATAAATCTTTAAGCTTTGCTTTGTAATGGAATTAAGTTATTTGGATTCTTTTGGGTTAAATGGATCTTCGTGTAATTATTTTCCAATACAGAGACAAAACTTTCTTGAGTATTATATTTCAAGCCTGTGAGTTATGAGCTTTTCTAGTCTGGTTACTAGCAACAGGCGATTTTCACTTTTTTTTTTTTTTTTTTTTTTTTTTTAGATTGTTCTTTGTTTGGCCTCAGCAGTTGTTTCATATGGTAGTTTCCTCAGGTGCTTGCACTCTTCAGTACTCAGCTGAATACTCAAGAGGGCCTTCTCTACAGATTTTTAAGGTTCTCTATGGAGCTCTCTCTTCTCTGGTGTTTTGTCTTGTAAACTCTAGCTGCCTTGGTCTCTTGGATTCTCAACTCCATTTCTTCAGCTCAAGTGTTGGCTGGGTTCCACTTCACTTTATTGTGTCCTGGAAACCCTCTCTCCAGGTAGGAAGCTGGGGCAATTTTGGGTTTGCCTTGTTTCCCATCTGTCTTTTTTTGGTGGTACTGGAGATCAAACCCAGGACTTCACACATGCTGGGCAAGAACACTACCTCTGAGTTACACCTCCGGTCCCCATTTCTCTTTTTTTGATATCCAGTCTTGAAATCATTGTTTTATTTATGTTGATTGGGTCACTGGTTGTTTCAGGCAGCAGGGTAAATCTGATCTGATCTGTTATTTCATCTTGGTTGGAATTGGAAACTGACCAGTTTTTCTCCCTCCTCTCCAAAGAGTTGTAGTAAAAACACAATTGCCAACGTTTACTTCAAGGGAGCATTTTCTAAGTGATAGGACTTTGCCTACATGATCCATTTGTCTTTATAATTATGTAGGCTTTCTTAATCTCATCTCTGTTTGATAGCTGAAAAAAATGAGGCCCAGGTTTTTACTGGTTTAGATCTCAGGCCTGTTGGTCCTAAGGCTATGTATATCCTGTGGCTTCACAAAATTCTCAAATGTTGTCTTGTTTTAGTTGCCAG